TTTCAGGTCCAGCACCGGGAGGGCCGGCTGCATGGTAACGCAGATGCCCTGTCACGGCGTCCCTGCGCTGGTGGCTGTGGGCACTGCGGGTGACTGGAGGTGAGGCAGCTGATAGGGTTCAGACCAGGGGACCCCTTGGGAGCAACAGAGACCTCTGGACCTGAGACAGTGAGTACCCCGATACCAGACCAACTGGCTGACACTAAAATAGACACAGGGGCAGCGGAATGGGGAGAAATGCTGGAGGAGGTGTGGGGTGTGACGCCGGACCAGACCATCGCACCCCAGCAGCCCGAGGGGCACCCAGCCTTTAGCCGGGAGGAACTGAAGGAGGCACAGGCTGGGGACCCAGTCCTGGCTCATCTGCTGGGCTGGCTCCGGCAAGGTGAAAAACCAGAGTGGTCAGAGTTGAGGTCCCTCGGCCCCACCACAAGGGCTACCAGTGGGACAGCCTGGCCCTCCGAGATGAACTATTGTATCGACGCTGGCAGGGCACTGCACTCTAAAAAACGCTGGGTTGTTTTTTCAACCCAAATGCTGGGTTGAGACTGCTGGGTAACATAGTTGGGTTGATTTAACCCAGTTTGGGTTGAAAATCAGTCTTGATCTATAACCCAGCATGCTGGGTTAAATGTGTATCCCAACTTCGTTGGACGAGAAGGCCTGGCTCACAGTCTCCGCTCTAATTCATCCCAAAGGCTTTGTGCAGGCCAGTCAAGTTCCTCCACAGAAGACTAGCTCATCCATGTCCTTATGGACATTGCTTTGTGCACTGGTGCACAGTCATGTTGGAACAGGAAGGGGCCTTCCCTAAACTGTTCCCACAAGGTTGGGAGCATGAAATTGTCCAAAATCGCTTTGAATGCTGCAGCATTAAGAATTCCTTTCTCTGGAACTAAGGGGCCAAGCCCAACCCCTGAAAAACAACCCCACACCATAATCCCCCCTCTACCAAACTTCACATTTGGCAAAATGCAGTCAGGCAAGTACTGTTGTTCTGGCAACCGCCAAACCCAGACTTGTCCATCGGATTGCCAGACAGAGAAGCATGGTTCGTCACCCCAGAGAACACGTCTTCACTGCTCTAGAATCCAGTGGCGGTGTGCTTTACACCACTGTATCCAACACTTTGCTTTGCACTGGGTGATATAAGGCTTGAGCTACTCTGAAGGCCAAATGAAGTTTTGAGGTCTGTAGCTATTGACTCTGCAGACAGTTGGGGACTTCTGCACAATGTTATCTGAGGGTTATCTGTATATATGACAGTCTGCCTGTACTGAGTATGGTGATGGTGGCAAATCTGTAGCAATAAACACCCTTACAGTCATAATTATGTTTTTGGCCTTATCTGAATGTCCCTTAAAAGCCACAGGGAGACTAATTTGTAGTGCATATTTATGCCTTGCTCAGGTTGTACACACATTCAGAAGATATCGTTTCAAATGGGTTAGTATGCATTGGATCAGTTTCCCACAAGATACTTGACTTCATATCAACTACTCCCTCTCCAGAGTTTGTGTAATTTATTGGGTAAATAATCAAATTAGTCAAAATAAGCCATAACCAACTCACAGTCAGAATTAGCATGATGTTTTCCATGTTGAAGAACTAGTTGTAAACTTGTGTAAAAAGTGTCATGCCCCGATCGTCCGCTCCTCTTGTGTGCCACGCCCCCTCGTTAACCGCATGTGGATTCCCCATGTTTACCAGCTGTTCCTGATCGTTGTCAATTAGTCCAGTGTATTTAGTCCGCGTTTCCGTTTGTTTCCCCAGTCCGGTCATTGTATTGTCAGCCTGTAAATGTTACATGTGTCGTCCCGGAAATAAAAAAACCCTTTTTGTCTATATTCATGGAATCTGTCACCTGCTTCCCTGTGGATCATGACAGAATGACCGGACTCACAAACAAGACGCCTCGATTCAGCGAAGCGGAATACCTCGACCTCGCGGACGAGGTACTGTATTGGTAAAAACAGCCCGAGGTCTGGGAGGACCCCGCTGCTTATGCCTTGGCTGCTAATGCACGGGAGACCCTGGAGGCGATCACCATCCGCACTTCGCGGAGGAGGTGCGGCACACGCTGCGCAAGCTGCGGAGTGGAGTGGGCGAGGTACTGCTGGGACAGATCGCCTTGGACTCCGGCTTACCTCCCGCCCTACCGGCTGCCTCAGCCCCGACTCCAACAAAAGTGGCTGGGAAGAAAAAAAAGCGTAAGAAATGCAGAGGAACGGATCCCTTAGGGAATTCCCCTCTGCCGGCAGATCCCGCTTGCTTCCTCAGGGCCCTTAAAGGGACGGTGCTAAACCCCGCTGTTTTTTCCGCGCCCGAGTCCCCAACCTCCAGTCCCAGCGGGCTGGCTCCCAAGGTGCCTGATCCTGCTGCGCTGGCTCCAGAGAAGCCCCTCCTCCAACCTGCTCCAGAGGCGGAGTTCCAGGTAATCTCTATTTCCCTCGCCCCAAGTACCCTAAGACGAGGGTACCAGCTCCAAACCCCGTGGTCCCCGCGCCTGATGCTCGCCCGCCTGCAGCTTCGCCATCGTCCACACCTGAGAGGGCCAGACGGTTTTTCACCCTCCAGGGTCTGTACTGGCGGGTCATGGGGGAACCAGCAGTGCAAGACTCCCCAGGGGCTGCCATGCTCCTGGAGCAGCTGCAGGAGGAGTTCGCTGCGGTCACCCCAGCGTCTCCTTCCCAGCAGCTAGAAAGGGCAGAGGAGATCTTGAAGAGGCTGCTCTGCTTGAGAAGGAAGCAGAACCCTCCAGCAGAGGATACGACGCCCGCACCTGAGACACACCCCCCTGCTCAGGCCCCCATGGTTCCTATGGCTTCAGTTGCTGATGCAGTGCCAGAGATGCCTGTGTCTGCTGCTTCTGCAGTGCCCCCTGTTGGCCCGGAGTCGGTGGTTCCTGTGGCGCCGGCAGCGCCCCCAGAGGTTCCTGTGCCTCCTGCTCCAGCTGTACTAACCTCTGCTGGCCTGGACTGGGTGCCCCCTGCCCAGTCCCCTGTGCAGCTCCCCGTGACTGCAATGCCTGAGCTCCCAGCTCAGTTCCTTGCTGCTGCTACGGTGCCCGCAGCCCCTGCTCAGCCCCCAGCAGTCCCGGAGGTCCCCGTACTGGCCCCTGCTGGCCATGTGTCGGCGGCGCCCCCTGCTGGCCGTGCGCCCGGGGTGCCCACCAGGGCGCCCCCTGCTGGCCACACGCCCAAGGTGCCCGCGGCCCTGCCTGAGGCCGCCGCTCTGCCCACGGCCCTGCCTGACGCTGCCGCTCTGCCCTGCTCTTCAGTCCAGCCTGTCCTGCTCATGGCTGCAGAGTTCCCCGAGGTACCTGTGGTGATGGTATCCATGGCACCCCCTGCAGGTCCCGCTTCGTCGCCCGAGGTCCCGGCAGCGCTGCCTCCCGTTTGGCCCCAGAGGCCCCCGCACCACCCCCTGCTGGTGCTGAGTCGCGTATGCTGGCAGCTGCACCCCCTCTGGTTCCAGTGCCTCCTGCTGTGGCAGGTTTGCCCCCTGAGGTCCCGGAGCCTGTGGCTGCGCACCCAGTGGCGCCCCCAGAGGCGCCTGTGCCTCCAGGTCCTGTGGTGCCCCCAGAGGCGCCTGTGCTGACGAAGCCTGTGGTGCCCCCTGTTGGTCCAGAGCCTGTGGCACCTGCTGCGGCCCCCAAGGCTCCTGTGGCGCCTGCAGCGCCCCCCGAGGTTCCTGTGGCGCTTGCAGTGCCCCCCAAGGTCTCTGTTCTCGCCCCCGTGGTTCCTATGTCACCAGCTCCTGCTTGACTACCACCTGTTCCTGCAGTGGCCCCAGAGGTGCCTGTGCCTCCAGCGGCTGTTGCGGCTCCCCCTGCTGGCTTGGAGACTGCTGCTGCTGCTACACCGCCCGAGGTCCTGGCATCCCTTGTGCTCCCCGTGACTCCTGTGCTCCCCGTGACTGCTGTGCCTTCCGCGGCGTCCCCCGAGGCTCCCGCAGTGTCCCCCGCGGCATCCCCCGAGGCCCCCGCAGTGTTCCCCGCGGCTCCTGCAGTGTCCCCTGTGGCTCCTGCTCGGGCGCCCCTTTCTGAAGAGCTGGCCCTGGCTCCGCCTGCGCCCGAAGTCCCGGCTCCGCCCGCGCCCCGGCCCTGGCTCCGCCCGCACCACACCCGTCGGCCTCAGTCTCCCCGGTCCCTGCTCCCTCGGCCTCAGTCTCCTCGATCCCTGCTCCCTCGGCCTCAGTCCCCCCGGTCCCTGCTCCCTCGGCCTCAGTCCCCCCGGTCCCTGCTCCCTCGGCCTCAGTCCCCCCGGTCCCGGCTCCCTCGGCCTCAGTCCCCGTGCCTCCAGTTCCCATGACCCCAATCCCCGAGGAGGTCCCCGAATTCCAGACTACTGCTCCTCCCTCCGTAGTGGAGTTAGAGGAGGAGCTTCAGTGGGACCCCTCGGGGATCTCCTTGACGTCCCCGGCAGCTCCCCCTGTGGACCCCTTCAGGGGGTCACCCCTGCCACCGGCACATCAGCACGCTGTTTCGCGGCCAGGCTGCTGCCTTTCGGTCTCCCGGAAAGGGAGGGGGCATCGACGCCGGGGTAGGCTCCCGGAGTCCCCCTTCCTTCCCCAAGCTCCGGCTAGGCGGTTGGCCCCGGCTTCATCTGGGGCACCTGCTCAGTCGGCCACGGCCCGCCTGCCGGTGTCCCCTCCACGGCCTGCGGGTCCCTTGCCCGCGGCTCTCCCCTCAGCTCCCTCCTTGCCACCTCCACCAGCCCCATTACCTGCATCCTCACAACCCTCAGCCCCTGTTCCAGTCCCGCAGAGGCATGCTGCCCCAGGGTGCCCTACTTCCCAAGCCCCGAAGGTCCCCTCTGCTCCCTGTTGCCCCCTGCCCTTAGATCCCTTGGCCCCTGTGTTCACTCCCCGTCCTTTGTCACCATTGTTCCCTTCTGGTTCCTTTGTGCCCTCCATGTTTCCCTTTCATCCCTCAGTGCCTTCGTCTTTGGTTGGTCCCTTTGTGCCCCCTGTGGTTCCCCCTCGTCCCTCGGTGTCTTCTAGTCCCTTTGTGGCCCCCACATGTTCTCCACGTTCTTCTGTGCCTTTGTCCCCTTTCGCTTCCTTTGTAGGTCCTTCTCGTCCATTTGTGCCCCTGCCCCCTGTTCGTCCCTGTGTGCTCCCTGGTGTGGTCCCTCCATCGTCCCCTTTAGTGTCCCCGGGTCCCATGTTTCCGTCATTGGTGTTTTTGTGTCTGTCCGCTTTCCCCGTGGTTTGTCGGTGGTTGTCTGAGTTGCTGTCCCTGTGTCTGTTCTGCGTGTCTGTCTTGTTCCCAGTGCTCCATTGAGTTTTTCTAGCTTTTGTCTCTCCAGGTCCCGTGTCCCCAGTCTCGTCGCGTCCGTCACCTCCCCTGGGGCGTGCCCGGAGTGCGTGCCTTTGGGGGGGGGTCCTGTCATGCCCC